AGAGCAGCGTCAAATTAAAGAGGCCTCTTATAGACTTGTTCTTCCTCGCACGCTGCATGGAGCGCTTCGAACTAGCATAACATCTCATATGTACTATTTCATAATTTTAGTCGATATTATTAGTAGAGATGGGCCGAATATTCGTTTCATATCCGATATTCGGCAGCTTTACCAAATATTCGTATTCGGCCGAATATTTGGCTAAATAACCGAACATTCGGTAAAGTAGTATACTCAGTGTCCACTGTATTGAAATGTATGCGTTGAGTAATGCCATGTCTTTCATAATTTTACTGTTGAAGGTATATTTTATTAGGGGTTAAATCTACTTGTATTATTTTTAGATATATTATATATTTAGATTTATTTCCAATTATAGCAAATAGAAAGCTTGATAAAACGTTTTTGGAATCAAACAAAGAGACATTACATTACATTAGTAAATTTCACTTTGCTTTGGTCGTCAGTTTTTCTAAAATAAATAATAGATCTCCTGCCACTCATCTTTATCATATAAGTATCAATTTTCAATAAGAATAACACTACGAATTTTATTTTCGCACAAAACTAGTCGAAGCATAAGCATGTGCGCCGGCAATTTGCACAGTCCAAGATGATGATACAAAGGCATATCAGGGGTGGCGGGGGAGTGAGTGGCAGGGTCCGGTGCTAATCAAATCAAATCAAATCAGTTTATTCTGTGAACATAGGTTATTTTACAGATCTCAATATATGTCATGGTAAAATACAGGGTAGGTTCTCATGTCCCGCCAGTAGGCATACAAAATATAAAATAATAATTGCTTAATAATTTTTCTTCTCTTCTGATGTCAGTTTTTAATTGAAATAATGTATTAATATAAGAAAATTTTAAAGATAATAAAGATATAGTATAATAATAACATATAATAATTATCATCATTTTGTCTAATAGTCATCTAGTATTAATTGGCACGTGTCATTATAGGTATATATTCAATGTAATTTAACGTTAAAATGTGTCGCTAAGGAATTCATCTAAAGAATAATATGCTTTTTCATTTAGTAGATCAAAAAAGTTTACGTTTATAAATATTAATGTTGTCACAATCTCTAATGTATTTAGGTATTTTGTTATATACTTTTGGTGCATATATACTCTTCTGTAATAAAACAGTTCTACTTGATACTAAATGAAGCTTATCTGAGCGACATTTACTTTCCACGAACTTATACATGTTAATATTACGTTTTACAAAAATGATTGTTTCATAAATATATAATGCTAATCCCGCGCGCTTCACGGTAACAACTTTCAACAGAAATTGGTTAGGTACCGAGGTGATCCTGCAGAATAATGTTCGGCCGAATATTCGGTTCGGTAAAAGTTTTACCAAACTTTCGGCCGAATATTCGTATTCTATTCGGTGAAATCCATGTTCGGCCCATCCCCAATTATTAGTACAATAAGTATACTGACCTTTAATAACATACTTTTGTGTGGAATATTTTTTTTAATAAGTACATCTATGCATATACAAACAAATCAAAAAGTCTCAAAATAAAACACTATCCAATACTACCTATCATATCGAAATAAAACTGTAAATACTTATTGGGATTGTATTAGGTACAAGTAATAAGGAAATAAAAATATCAGTTAATTGTCAAAAATCCCCCTAAAACGATGTCTATTAAACATATAGAAACAATATTTTTGTTCAGAGAAAGTTATAAATTGCTAATAGTACTTTGTTCGTGAATTACTCTTTGGTGGTCAATCTGTCTACCAAGCATGGAGATTAAGATGAATCCTTACTACAACTGGAGATTCCCAAGTATATATATATATAATAATATATAAATGTGTACATTTAACCTTTTTTTCATTTCAGACAAATAAACAAAATTCTTTTAACAAATGATTTAACTGAAAATGTAGCATTAGAAGCTAAGAAGTGTGGATGTGAAATGATCATTTCTTACCATCCTCCGATATTTGCTCCTTTAAAATCTATTGTTCAAAGGTGAGTTTAATTACAACTATAACAGGATTACTTATTAATGTAGCATTTTAGAAACACAATTGATAGACCCTTCTTACTGGCAACGAGAATTTCCATCTCAGTCCACACAAGTGGCAACACATCTAATGGGCTACACATCCACTTACTGGGAGAATGGTATCCTTGTTGCACAATTCTCATTTTTACATCTGTAAAAAAAACTGAACTGCCACTTTTTTATTATATTGCTAGCTTTTAAAGAATATTAACTTTCAAAAACCTAAAAATACGAGGGGTGATTCAAAAGTAATGATAATGAAAACAAAACACGATAATTAGTTAAAGTAATAATTTATTTTTATACATAGTCTCCTAACAATTCAATACATTTAGTCCATCTTTTTTCTAAACCCAGGATTCCCTTTGAAAAAAATTCTTTGTCTAGACCCTCCCAAACGCTTCAACAGCGGCCATTACTTCGCTATCGTCTTCGAATTTCTTACCTCAGAGGCGTTCCTTGAGCCGAGGAAAGAGGTAGAAGTCACTAGGAGCTATATCTGGCGAATAGGGAGGGTGTTCGAGCAGTTCGAATCCCGTTTCTTGAATGGCAGCCATCGCAACTGCGGCTTTGTGAGCCGGTGCGTTGTCTTGGTGAAACAACACTCCAGCTCGCAGTTTGCCGCGTCTTTTTTCCTTAATGGCCTTCCGTAATCTTATTTGGTCTGCGTAGTAAGAGCCCGTAATAGTGGCTCCCTTTTCCAAATATTCCACCATAATTATGCCTTGAACGTCCCAAAAAAAAAGATGCCATAACTTTTCCCGCCGAACTTGAAATTTTGAATTTCTTTGGCGTCGGTTAAGAGGCTCGCTTCCAAGTCATAGATTGTTGTTTCGTTTCAGGATCAAAATGGTGGATCCAGGTCTCGTCCATAGCCACAAAACGGAACAAAATTTTTCTTGATCTGCTTGGAACTTTTCGAGATTGACCCTCGAAATGTCAACTCGATTTTTCTTTTGCTCGTCGGTTAACATTCTGGATACCCAACGCGCAGAGACCTTTTTCATATGCAACTCGTTCGTTTCTTTGAACGCTGCCATATGAGATCCCTGTGACCTCAGCTACATGCCTGATGGTCACTCTTCGATCTGCCAACACAACATCTTCGACTTTTTTCACGTTGTCTTCAGTGAGGGACGTGGATGGGTGTCCTTCGCGATGTTCATCTTCAGTGGATGTTCTGCCCAGTTTAAACTCCTTGGCCCAGCGTGCAACTGTAGAATATGGAGGAGCAGAGTCCCCCAATGTTTCCACTAAGTCACTGTGTATGTCTTTTGAAGACATTTTTTTCAAACAGAGGTACTTGATGACAGCTCTAATTTCGTTTTTCTCCATGTTGATGTTATCTCTTTGACAGTTCGTATTCAAATGAATGTATCTCCCGGAAATCGTGATCTATTTATATGTTTTTTTTTTGTATTTTTATGCGGATCTGAAGTAACTGATTATCATTACTTTTGGATCACCCCTCGTATGATGAGCCTTTGTAGTTCAGTGGCTAAGCACTTGTCACATTTATCAAGTGTTTAGCCAAGAATGAATAAATCGAGACGAACCTTGCATTATTGAAGAATAAAATATTTCGAGAACGTAGAGTCTGTCACACTATACACGGATGCAGCAGTGCAGGGACTAATTGTTATATCTCTCAGAAATGAGAGGCCTGTATACCCACATATATCTTACGGGTGGGATATAGGTGGGTATATAGGAACTTAACCCTTTAAGTAGTCACATTTTTAACAAACAGTATTTTCATAACACACCTAGACTATAAAATACCCTTATAAAGATTATTTAATTAACCTTTCTGTTTAAATGTTGTGTAATAAAATAGTAAATAAAAAAGTTTTAAGACAATCCTGCAATGCTTTAACCGTTAAAGTAATTAGCACATAATATATAGTTTTTATTATTAATACAAACAATAATAAGTCTACTTTTCAGCTCGTGGAAAGAACGCATCGTTTCTTTTTTATTAGAGAACCGTATATCTCTGTATTCACCCCATACTAGTTGGGATAGTGTACAAGGAGGTGTAAACGATTGGCTAGCATCAGCTTTCCCTTTCTCAGAAGCCACTCCCATCATACCAGGTGTAGACCCTAACACAGGTGCTGGAAGGTATGAATATTTTGTCTACATTTTTAGAATAAAGCTAGTGTTCAAATCTATAATCATTATACGTATTTTAATTTCTAATAAAAAGCAACATCTTGTATCATGCAGGTTCTTAAAACTAAAAACGGGCATATCGTTAGATGATGCCGTGACTAGTGTGAAGCAAATTACTGGACTAAAACATGTGCGTTTAGCTCTCGGCAGCGAGAAAAGTATAAATGACATTATTCAAACTGTAGCACTTTGTGCAGGATCTGGGGGGTCAGTGTTGAAAAACGTAGCGAATGGAGACCTTTTCTTAACAGGTACATTTTGTTTGTGTCCCTTTAATGAATCATATGTTTATTCTAAGCTTTTCTAATATAATCATTTATTTTTAGGAGAGATGCTTCACCATGATGTGTTAGATGCGGCGCAGAGAGGAATATCCGTCATTTTGACTAACCATTCCGATTCAGAAAGAGGATTTTTACGCGGTTTTTCTTCAATACTTCAAGATAAATTAAATAATCGGATACAGGTTTTAGTTAGTGAGTGTGATAAGGATCCTTTGATAACTGTTTAATATTTTTATTAACACAAATAAAACAACAGAGTAGTAAACTTAAATGCGTTTTGTATTATAATGTTATGTTATTATTCTTAAGCATTGTTAGTTATGAATACAAAATCTTGTTCTTTCAAAAGTTTGATCTTTATAAAAATTCACGGTGAGATCATTGTTATATTTTATCTATAAAACAGCAACACATAATAGACATACATAGCATTCGGTTTTTCGATTTATGATCAACATGATTTACCACTCTCAATATAAAAGACTAGTGTGCTATCCATTATAGCAGTTGGCAAGATCTTTTATGTGCTTTTGATTTGCTTACCCTATCCTTGTCCTTTCCGTATTGATATTTTTGTTGATCTGGAGAAAACTTCTCTGAAATATATTTCATTTAAAAACGTAAACTTAGGTCATCTTTCAACAATTTTCAGTACCTACAGTGTTCACACTAGTTACTTACGTAGGGCAATTTTATTTAATTGTTTAATTCTGACTTTTTGTTCATTAGAATTTTCTTTATTATCTTTAGTGGAATAATTTTTATGGTCAGCATGTTTATAGGGTTTTATTTTACGAACCGAAGATACTGTTCCATTTTTATCGTCATAATTTATCACATACTTGCTTCGTTTTGATTTATTTGAATCATGATACTTTTTATCAAGTATTTTATTTTGCTTAACTTTTGATGAAGAGTTTAAATCTAAGTCCGGATGGGACTTCCGTGAATCTGTACTCAAATTGGTAATATTTATCTGTGGATGTATATATTTTTCTTCAAAATCTCTACTATTTCTTTGACGTTTTGGCTCTTCTTTCATTGATTTAGCTTCTTTCAACACGTTGATACTATCAGGAGTCGTATGGCGACATAAAGATCGTGTACGGTTATCCTTTTCTTTATGTTCGCTAGGTATTTTGTTGCTACCTTCTTTCAATTTTTCGTTTTCAACTCGACTCCTAGTATGAGAAAGTTCAGGTGTTACAAGTTTCTCTGTTCTTTGTTTTCTAGTTTTAGTATGAGACTTCAATGTATTATCATTGCTATTAGTGTTTAATGAGTCTGATCGACGTACACGTATTTTGTTACTATCTTCATCATTTTTACTATTCTTCTGAGCTTTAGTACGACCTATATTGCGTTCTTTTGTTTGCAAACTTGTGTCTTTTTCCGTGTGGGGATTTTGTTTTGAGTCTGTTTTATAATGCGAACGACGGCTTTCAAAATCTTTAATTTCCTTTGCTCTTAGATTTACGTATATAGATGTGCTATCTTTAGATTTTGTTATGTGGTCTGATTCACCTTTTAAATCTCTATTCGGATCTGTTATTCCACACTTTGTTCTGAAAACAACAAATAAAAATGTAAGTGATTTAAATTACAAATATTTTATTATAAATACTATAAGGGATATTTTTAATAACATTGACCAAATAAAATAGTTCTGGCCACTTTAAAATATGTTTAATATCAAATTATTCATCATTTTTGCAAATTACTTCCAAATTTAAATAAAAGAAAAAAATGTGATAAAAATTGAGTTGATCTAGAGGGAGCGAATTTTGTACTTAGAGTAATTGTTTTTTTTTTTGTTTTTTTTTTGTTGATAACCGCTATTTAAGAGTTACAAATATGCGCAAATCAGAATCTACCCAATCGCTCTAGAATCGAAGATTTTTTAAATCTTTGTCTAGAATAGCCTAATATTGACGCACACTACAATGTTCTGCGTGCGTGAAGTGAATTTGTTCTTGATAGAACAAGAAAAATATGTAGAAGGAGAATAAAGGCAAAGGAAAATATTTGTTAGTTGAATTAAATTAACATAATAATAATTAGGTGTCCATTAGGCTGGTTGAAATTTCAGTGGCGATGATATGCGCTAGAATTGAGACAATTGTTTCGCTAAATAACAATCATGAAAATAATGATTACCAAGCATTTTTGAAACGAATTAAAAATTTAAGTTTGTGAAGTTAACTAATGGCAATAGAAAAGTGTAGCAGCACTAGCGCTAGTAAATAAAATTATATGTAAAATATGTAAAAACCTTTATTATTTTTAATTAGCAAATTAGCTCGTGCGAACATAAATTGAGTTTTAATTATGAATAGTCTAGATTAGGATGTATGCTACTTCAGTCTATATGACTTGCAAAATTTACAATTGATAACGGATTTAGATTTGTATTTATTGCTTATGCAAAATAGATTTAAGCAGTTAAATAATATTTAGTATTATAGTTAGTATAGAATAGTAGTTTTATATTATAGAACGCAGGGCAACCAGTACCAAACAATCTTTTTGATACATATTAAACTAAAAGAATAAAATAATTCCCACCTAATATTAAGAGTTGGTGCTAAGACATAGTGTATATTTTTTACTTTCAACGTTTACGCTACGGTGTGCATCAACGCGAACGCACGCAGTGGCGGAAAAAAATGATATGTCTTACCATTGGGAGGACTGTAGAGTACCTTTGTATAAACAAAAACCCTATAAATTGAATTGGGGAGTCTGCGCGCGCTGATTTATAGTATTTTTAAAATAATTGTATAAAGTAATTGACTAAATTAAACGAGCTAAAAAAAATGGATGCGTGTATGTTAATAAAATAATTATAATAGTTATTAATTATAAGTTGCATTTATAATTAATAACTTTAATGAATTCATAGTATTCTCTTTTAATATTTAATCGAAATATTTTCGTAATTTAGGCTCTGTATTGCATTTTAGGACTATAATATATTCCGTTATAATAGTGCTTAAAATAAAGTATTTTAGCTTATAATGGTTGTATTCGACCTGAAAGAATTCTGACGCATATTTTGGTAAAGTGCTATAGGGGAATTTGTCATCGCTCTAAAAAACCGTCATTAAAAATTATGACGCTAAATAAATACTCCACCTCTCTAAAACCGTAATTTTCTGCAAATAATCTGTTCAATCGTTATTTGAGAAAACCCTAAAACGTGAAGTTTTCGACGCGAACCGCTTACACCCTCTTAAACATCTTTTTGATTCAACTTGGGTTGATTGTGACAATTTTACGTTTGTTGTTGATCGACATTTAACTGGAGAAGAGATGTTAAGAGCAGTGGGAATGCTGCAGGCTGATGCTGTTCAACATGACGTCACGTCGCTGCGGCAATTGGCACCAGGCTTTAGAGGTTGTGGTCACGCTATCGTGCCACGAGGGAGGTGGCGAAGAGACATCCAGAACCAAGCCGTATTACCACACTCAAATAAGACCGTTTTTTTGCAAATTGCTGCAAGAAGGCAACCAAATGTTACGAGCGCGGCGATGCAATCGGTCGAAAGGATACAGTCTGAACACCAGGTGCTTGTGAGTGACCAAACTGTTAGGAGACTTCACAAAGCCAATTATTCATGCTCGTAGATCACTGGGTTCCAGCTCTAAGAAGAGGAAATCGTGGACGAAGACTGCAATGGGCTAGAGAGAACATGTGAACTTCATAAGTGGTAGAGCCATGTTGCAGTTATATTAGTAGTATAGTTGTAGCACGAATATGTCTGCTTGAACGGGCAAAGATCACGCTCTCACAATACCAGCGCAAAACAGTACCTTAACGCTGCTGTACTTCGTTTGTTGAGTGTAGCGAACCGAAGACCCTTTTTACTGGAAACGAGGCATTCCACCTAAGTCCTCACGGGTGACAACGCATCTGCATTTTGATTCATAATCGAGGATAGATGTGGATGTCTATGGACTACAGCAACCTCTTACCATCAGATGCACTGTGTGTTCGTTTGTCTCCCTATCTTAAGGTGGGTCTACGCTAGAGAAGCGGAGCACGAGCTGAGCAAAAGCTAAGCCGCTCTATTTGCGTTGTCAAGTGTAGACGTACAACGAGCCTACAACATGCAAAACGATGCATGCGATCCAAATCCCTTTGTGTTCGTCAAAAATTGCAATAGGTGGAGCACAGTCGAGCACGAATCAAACGTTAGAAGCGCGTTCGTTCGAGACTTGTAAGTCGGTCCACACTACACGAATTTGTGTTCGACTAATGCTGCGCTTGTGCTTGGCTCCTCTAGCGTAAAATCACCTTTATAAAAAAAAGAACTGGGAGCATCATCAAGGTCGTTGGTGCTTTTCACCGCTGAATCCCGATTTGATTTTTATCCTGATTCAAGGAAAGTACGTGTTTCGAGAGTTCTTGGTCGTACAAGCCGGCTTTAACGTCCTCAATAAGTTCATCCATACTAAGGGGTATAATTATGATGTGGACAGGAATTCGTTTTGGTGGAAGAACGGATCTCGGTTGTATAGGTACAGAGCAGTATGACGGCTGGAATATGCCATAATAATGTGTTAGAACCAATAAATAGTCTTGCCACATCGAACACAAATGGGTAAAAATTTCCTGCTTATGCACAAAATTGCTCGTATATATTTGGCCAGGGTAGTAACAGCCTGCTTGCATGTAATGGCCTTAGAATAGCCAGCGCAATCCCCAGATTTAAATCCCATTGAGCATGGGATATACTTCAAAGAAGAGTTCTGAGGGATTTTCCTGAAAATCTGGTAACCGAAGAACAACTTTTTATGCATCTCAGTAGGGCATGGGACAATATTCTCAACCAAAATATCGACAACCTCGTTCTGATTCTGAGTGTACCAAACTTATTCAGATGCGTTATGAATAACGTGATTTTCCTGATTATTAACTCTTGATTAATTATTAATACCTATTGATTTTTTTTTTACCGTCTGGCAACAAATAGGATGTAACAGGTGAACGGATTAGAAGCCTGTGGCACTGATATTTTACATTTTTTTCTTTTACATTAACATGTCATGAAATTGATCTATCAATAAAGTTATAACCCTTAAAAGGTTTTTACTTTACTACTTTATTTTTGTAATTTAATAATGATCTTTCATGATGTACAGTTTTCACACTTACGTTTTTTTCACTGCATAAATCGGAAATCTCATTTAAAGTCAATGTTTATATAAAAAATGGTAGATTATTAACTAAAGTATTCTTGGATACATACGTCTCTTAAGAAAACATTGACATACTCTTTAGAATTCATGTGTTGATAAAATATCCCTATACCGTGTTGATCGTTCTAGATACGTCGTACCGTTGAATATTTTTGAATACTCAATATAATATTTTGATTATATTAAAATGAAATTAATACATTTAAAAAAAAAACTGTGTAAAATTATGAACTCTTTTATCCTTTAAACTCACCGATGTGATGTAGAATTATTTGAAGCATTCTTTTGACAAGAGTCTTGTTCCTTGTATCGTGCTCTACGTATCTTTGGTGGCTCTGATATACTACGATTTGAGGTATATGACAAATCTTGCCTTCTTAACCTACTTCTTCGTTGCGTTTCAGAAATGTTGTCGTCTTTTTCTTGTTCCGATATAGAATTTAAATTTCCCGATATCTTTGGTTCTCTGTTTTTCTCACAATACTTAATCCGTATTCTCGGTGCTGGAACCGGAGTGTAATTTACTTTTGAAACTAAGTTTATATATTCTGGAGCTTCGTCTGATTCTACTTCGCTGCTGCAAACACTATTTGAAACTTTTTGTACTAATCTGACCGATTCAAAAATTTCTTCCTGTGCACGGTTATTGTCATATAAATTATTATCCTGTGGTTGTTTCGACATTAATTCCGAACTCTTTTCTATTCCAAAATACATGAGATCACTATCTTTGAGTTGCCTTGAATTAGACCTTCCTAGAATTGGAGAAGATTGTATTATTTGCAATTTTCTTTTAAAAGAGTTTGTAGAATTACTTTCTATGTGTTCATGTTCCGATTTTAATTCATTACTTTTTTCTGGTGTTATATTTTCATTGTTCTTATAGCTGCTTTGTCTCAAAGAACCTGTAACACAAAGATTTAGTTTTGTTTTATATAAACATCAAATATATAAATGAGATAAAGAATACTTGATTCTGTCTATGATAAAGGTTTCCGAATAATCGGGAACTACCTATAAGCTATAAAATATCTTTAAATAAGCTATATTATAATGTTTACGCAGGGTATATCCTATATTGTCCTAACATACAATTGCCCAATGTAACGCTTATATGTATATATCAGGAGCTGGTTGGTATGTATGAATTGTTAAAGAAACGAAACTAAAAATCCAGCTAGGATCGGAGAGTTCAGAATCTGCGATGACGTAGTCAATTAGCTTGTTGACCACGTCATTGTCATATCAGGCATATTATATAAGATGGTTATACCAGCGTGTTATCGGGGCTATCAGATTTTTCTGACATTTCCTGTAGTCACCTCTTAGGATATAAATGTCACAGGCTAAATGGATTCACTACGACAACACATAGAATACATTTATGTCGAACTTATTTGCTATATAAATATCAAATAACTTAATAAAACGTTGCTATATAACCTTCATTGCTGGTTCTGTAGGAGTTATGCGTAAAAGCGCCCAAATGAAATTTAGTTGGAGAGTGAGATTTTATTCCACTGATAAATTTTCTGTCTGCTTGTAGTTGTGTGTTAATAAGAGAAACTCCTGTTACATTTTGATCATTGACAACAGGCTTATCACTTTTATTTATTAAATTATCAACATTCCCAAGTACCATGTTCTCTCCTAAGAGATATGGCTTGGGTTTCGGGATCCTATTTTTGAGAATACTTTTTGTAGCTGCTGTATTCTCATCGGATTCACCAATCTCGGAAGTGCTGGAATTTGAAAAACATTCAGTTTTGTTTTTTTCGTTGAAATCAGTTTTTTCTCCAAAAAGCATCACAGGCTTTTCAAATCTGTCACTGATAGGAACAAATGCACTCCTTCGCCGCCTGAAATCATTTGTTGGCGGTGGCTTTTCATCTGTCGCTATTATGTTAACAGTTCCTGTTTCTGTCGTGAAGTGTAGTTCGGTTTTACAAAATTCAACTTTTTTGGATTTTTTATCTGCTTCGTTGCAAATTTGATTTTTTCTGAATTTATCGTCATCATCTGTTTCAATAGTTACTGGAAGTGTTATGCACATCTTGCCTGGAGATTGCAGAGTTATATTATTTTCAGATAGTCGTTCCGGTGTAATACTATGTTCTTTCAAAGGCTTTGTAGGATGACTACCGAAAGTATTCTGTCTATTTTTAGTAAGCCAATCCTTAAATGTCTCCTCGGGTGCTTGCGACTTTCTTTCCTTTGACTTATAATATCGTGTATTATCCGTATCATTAACAATTTCAGATGATTTGCAAATACCGCTATCGGTTGAGGATTCTATTGCGAATCTGTCATTTCTATCTAAAATAATTTTGCTTAAAGGTGCTGTATCTTCAAAACTGTAACTTTTTCGTCTATTATTCCAGTCATCATTTCCATTTAAAAGAGATTTGTATTTAAGGGTGCTTAATGTTACAGGTGCATCTAATAAAGGCGAAACCCGATTATTTTTAGGGTTACCTGGTTTAAAACTTTCTGATTGTTGGTGACTGTTTTCAATTACTTCCTTTTTATAAGAGTATTTTGGATATGTTTTTGAATCGAGATCAATAATACTCGCGTTGTCCGTTGATGAAGATTCTTCGCTGGGCAATCGTATTGAATTGCTACCACTGACACTTCGCCATTTTGATGGCTGCGATATGTCTAAATCATCTGGTTCAGTCACTTTATAATCTTGGTTGTCAACGTTTGAGTCGGTAATTTCCAAGGGCATGGAAGATATTTCTAGAGGTTTTGATTGTGAAGATGTAGGTTCAAGGAAGTTGTATCCAGAAGATATCACCTGAAATTAATAAAAAATATTTTTTTTAATAAATCTGATTATTGTACTTGGTGCACGAATGGGTCGGCCCGACCGGGTGAAGACTACGCTCACAATGCAATAGCAGCACAATGCTGTTGTGTTTCGTATGTGTGTAGAAAACCAAAGACGCTTTTTACTGGAAACTGCATTCGTATGAGGTGATAACGCATCTGCATTTAACCACGGTTTTATTAAGTCACTTTTTCTCGTGTGCCTGTCGTCCTGGGTGGAATTCTGTAATTGATTTTAAACATGATAAAAAACCTCGGTAATTTCTTTTTAAGAATCCAAAAGGAAAATACTTGTTTATTTTTAATTGAGAATAGATGGCAAAGTCTTATAGGCCACAGCATTTACTAACCATTAGGTTGAATGTGTGCTCGTTTGTTACCTCTCACCATTATGATAAAAAATATTTTTAGTAAAGGTTAACTTTGGTATATGGCGAACGCGAGGGTCAACTATCAATGTAATATCTTTAAACTATTGTTACATAAAACAAATGCAGGAACTGTAAAATATTACTTAATTTTTCACTCACGCCTGTCACCCAGAGGGGTAGGCAGAGAGTACGGACTTCCATTTGGCACGATCCTGACATACCTCTTTCGCCTCCTTTACATCCATATATCTACGCATACATGCTCGTCGGTTAAGGGTACTTCTAACGTGGCCCCTTTTCAAAATATCGCTAATTTGGTCGATAAACTTTTTTCTAGGGCGTCCCTTCCCGACTCGGCCGTTCACATCTGCCATATAAATTTGCTTTGTCACTCTTTCCTCATTCATTCTTTCTACATGACCAAACCACCGAAGCATTCCTTTCTTAATCCTGGTCACAACATCATCTTGCATACCACATTTATCTCTTATCACGCAATTTCTCACCCTGTCATTCAGATTCAACCCTAGCATACTCCTTAAAGACCGCATTTCTACAGCATTTATTCTACTTTCGTGCTTCTTCTGCCACACCCAGCTTTCACTACCATACATTAAAGTAGGGACTAACACAGCATTATGAATTACCATACGTGCCTTTTTTGACACATTCTGGTTCTTCGTAATAGAGTGTAGTGCCCCATTCACTCTATTCCCTGCATTTACTCGTCGTTCTATATCCCTATCATATCTACCATCCCTGCTAAATACACATCCCAAATACACAAACTCATCCACTTGCTCAATTAACTCTCCTTCTATTCTTATTTCACATACCGTTTTGCTTTCTTCTCTTTCAAAAACCATCACTTTCGTCTTACTTGCGTTCACTTTCATTCCCCTTTCTTTTAATTCCCATTTCATTAATGTTACCATCATTTGCAACTTAGCCGCCGATGACGCAAATATGACTTAATTCTTTTATTAATAATAAATTGATAATATTTTCGTGTCGTTTCGAGTCGTGTCTGTAATTCTAATATTTTCTGGTAGAAAAAATCCCAGGGGACTAAGAAATGGCACTGAACTCAAATCAGTGGCATTTAGAATTTTTGTCAGCCTGTCTGTCGGTCTGTCTGCCTGTACGGATTTCCACGAAATTGTTAGGAATAGGGGTGTAGAGTTAGAGATCCGGAGCAACTTAAAAAAACTCAAAAAAGGTCCATCTATTCATCTTTATACAAGTTTTCCTTCCTGTGTTAATTTATATTTTAAATGCTTCTGTTATAAAGGGGATAACGTAGTGTTTTTTTTAAATTTTCCAACTTACATTTGTAAATAAAATAAAGCCTAATATTAGTTTTAACAGTTTCACTTTTTTCAAAACAGCACTATCATAAAACAAAAAAGAATTATATTTTTCCTTCAGTTGCTAATAAATTAAATAAATATAGATAATTCTCTCTAAATCTAAACTATTTAAACATTGAAACAAAAATCCAGTTTCATGCCGTTATCAAGGGTGCATTATCACATGTCGGTGTGTGTGCGTAAAAAGATCTCAGTGATGCCAAAAGATATGCAGTATAACTAATTCATATATAATCCTTCGTATACCCGACAGCGATATGTAAGAAAGACTAGAGTTGTTAAAAGTAAGTAGTATTAAGTCCGCTAGACACAGTTCACAATTTATGTACAGCACAGATTACCCCCTAAGTATAGCTCATTTTGGAGAAGCAATTAAGCGGTTCATTAGGATCGACGTAATTTCGCTGTTTGCGCGCCCTTTTAGAGCTTTTTTCCGCTGTACGATTTTTCGCGAAGATATTCGATACGACTCTTTTTTTCTTTTTCTGTGTAGGACTCCTAGTTTATTAACTCTTAATCATTTTGTCTCCAAGTGGCAGAGCATCCAAAGTATTTCCAACATTCTCATGTATGCAATGTACTTTAGTTTGAAGTGGATGATATAATTGTGGCAATTACTGGCTGTGAGACATTCCATCTGTATTTGTCTTTCGCATATGGAAAAACTTTTTTCTTCAAAAAAAGCAAACTTGATTGATGTGGTGTGTCTAAGAATAGTTCTTAAACAATAACTGTAGTAAAACTGTTAGTAAAACATGATTTATCGACGCATTATGTATTATTTGCTACCAGCTACCCTCCTAATGTTATAAAAAAATTCTTACCATAATACTCTGCACTGATCTTTCTTACCTATGTTGAACGTTGTCTCAAAAATGGGGGAATTCCGTCCTAGATTGTCTATTTATCTAATAGGTCAACATCCACATTTTCTCTAAACTGTAAATGAGATGGCAACCATTTAATGATAGCCCCTTTAATTTTAGTTTACCATCTAAGATTGATTCTATTTTGATTTGATTTGACTATGGTTTCTCTTCTCACTTCAAAGGTACTGCGAGCCAAATACTGCAGGCCAATAAGAATAAGTCTCATTGATGAAATATATTAAAACGATAAGTATATATTAATTTATCATTTTACCAATAGCTAAATCATAGGTGACTATATTATTTTCCAACTTACATTTTTTATACTATGAGGATGGCAAACAAGCACACCTGATGGTTAGTGGTTGCTGTGGCCCATATACATCTACATTTATCCTCGATAACGAATCAAAATGCACATGCGTTGTCACCCGCCGTAAGGACTAATATGGAATGCCTCGTTTCCAGTAAAAAGGGTCTCCGTGCGTTAAGCTGCTATTTGATGCTGGTAATCTGTGAGAGCGTGGTCCTCCCCCGTTCGATCCGACCCATTCGTGCTACAACTATAACAGTAATATAGATTGCAGCATAGCCCTATCACGTAAAAATCCCTTATGATTCCTCTCAACTAACTTTACTCCTTCACCACTGTGTAATAATTGGTCGGTTAAAGATTAATTTGAAGTAAAGAATCAATATTATATCATAACTCAAAATCGGCGAACGAAAACCTTCCAGACTAAAGTTATGGTAACTTAATATTTTTTTACTACTATTGACTAACGATTTACCTAATAGATCATCCAGGCTCCAAGAGGACGTAAGTTTCATGGATGTAATCTATGACGTAAGAGAGACCCTTTCGCAGGTATAATAAATAGTGCTAACTGAAAAATATGGCGGGAAGGCGGGTGACAATCTTTTTTTGCGCGACTCGATGGTTCCTGTCCCTGGTGATACGTGGAAATTCCATCTTTATAATGTATGATATAATCTTTGAGTAAAACTGATGTCAACAGAATACTTTCATAACGTTTTTTCGCACAATAATAACAGCTGCGTAAAAAGTGGAAGAGAGACAAAGGATCGCTTTTTAACCATGTAACATTCATTAATACGTGGCTGTCTTAGACTTATAAGTGGCAGATCCAAGCTGCTGCAATATTATGGTTGTAGCACTAATGTGTCGGCTTAACCGGGGTAGGACCACGTTCTCAGAATACAGAATAGTAGCATGCAATATACTAGTAAAAGAATAGTCTTGTAGTACTAGTATTATAATTAGAATATAATTTCTTTTTGCGTAAAATAAAGTCAACAAAAAGGACAACAGTTTTCTATAAAACACTAACTGAAAACCAGCAGAAAATAATAGAAGTATGATTAGGATAGGAAAGTGTTTGAAAGATTGTTTAGACTTTAGATGCATGAGGTGATTGCCCTATAATAGTTAAAGTATAAGACGTAGAATATTTATATTTTCACACTGGTGACAAGATCGCATGCCAAGTGTGATGGTTATGGCAAATTCTACCTATTATGGAAGAGATGTCCAGCAGTAGAATTTTACGGGCTGATTAGTAGAAAGAGGATTGTTATATTTACTTATCTTAAAATAAGACAATATATAATACTCCGAAATATCAATAGATTTAAAAAACTAGAAGTCATTATGCCATTGGTCCCGTAAACACATGATAGCAGAACCGTACAAACCGTAATAAGGCATTTACAGTGATACTTAAATACAATGATATTTTTCATTGATTTTACGGCTCGGTATCTCAGTGGCTATACATTGGCTTTAGGTCGGAGGTTTGAATTTCAACTGTTTGTACTGCCTACAGATATAATTTTGTAATCTGTAGGTATGTTACAATCCTGGAGAAATCAATTTTTTAACCATATAGTTCGTTGCTGTCGTTTCGAGCATCTCTGATGCCATTTCCGTAATGTAATCTGTGACTGCATCTCTCTTATAAAAATTAAAAATTGCGTCTTACGCTAGCATTGGACGTTAGTAGTAAGGTAACGCTTGCCAGATTCAACTAATTCTTGGAACTTCTTATTTATCTAACACTGTTTTTCAGCAACAAATTTTAACCCATCAATTGACTCAATTATCAATTATTTCGTTATTTTACTGCTAGCTATAAAGTTATAAATAGCAGTAGCAGTAGCTTGTTTTTCATAGGACAGTTTCGAGCTACAAAATGGGTTTTAGCAACTATTTTGTATTCTCTACTAGCATCCAGCTACACAGTAGTACAGTTGTAAACTACAGCAACGTTAAAAATTAAGAAATTAATCGTGTCAATCGTTAATTTTATTTTTCGAAGAAGATCTTCGAAAAATAAAATTAATTTTAGCGACAAATTAAACTTCTATGTTTGTTATATTCGTATAAATAATTAGCTATTGAAAGGTTTACCCTGCGTGATGATTGAATCATGTATGAAGACGCTGGCTCCCCCGGCCCTGCGGTAGCGTGATACGCCGCCCGCAACACTCGCACCCGAGCACCCGGCCCGCTCGCTTGCAGCACCTCCATAGCGCGCGCCACACGTTTTGTCACGCCTCCTTCGGTAACCTATTATAAATATTCATCCCATTAGGTAAACTCAATAGCGAAACGGTCTCATGTAACACCTTTTTTCAATAAAGCAGGTATTTTAAAAATGAAAGCGCGGCAGAAACTACACCTAGCTAAGCAAGCAAGCTAGCAAGTCGCCACTATATTTATATAGTAAACTTATATGGAGAAATCGACAAAACATCAGGTCTTGTATGAACCCACTTGCCAATCCCACTTACTGTTCTGCAGCTTTCAGAGGTAGTTTTAAATATATAGCTACTAGGTGCTTGAACGACATTCCTCCGCCTATTCGTGAGTGTAATTCAAAGTAAAATTTTAAATCACACTATAAAAATCATTTATTACACTTACAAAATGCTCAACCTTGAACCTACTGTTTATTCCAACATCTTTGAGCATTATAATATAGGAGAAACAAGTAAGAGGGAACTACCCAGACGAACTCTTGAACAGAAAAACTGCTCTAACACCTAGAAGTGATTCGGTAAGGAAAACTTGGTCATTCATATAAAACAGTTAAGTGCAAACTACACTTCCACAACCAGTGTTCCTTGCTAAGAATTTATCTAATATTAATTAAATTATCTATTTCTGTCTTTATTCCAGATGTAGGAAAAAGCTGCTATGTTCGTATGGTGAGTGTGGAGACCATTTTTACTGATAACGAGACATTCCATCTTAGTCCTCAGGGGTGACAACGCATTTGCCTTTTGATTTATGGATTATACGGATGAATTTTTGATAGAAATAATCTGCATGATAGCAATTAAATAAATTTTAGCCAAGGAAATAAAAAATATTTTGAAGAAAAATTAAAGCCAAAGGGTTCAAAATAGTACCTAAAGATCAAAATTCTTTTTCGAACTGATTAAAATATTATAGTTACTTTAAAGAAAATTCTTACATACAATATTCATGAATAAAGTAAGGATGAGCTCACGTGTTATAAACGTGCCTTATAGTGTATTTAGTGTCATTAACATAATTGTAGTAGGTAGTAAAAGTGCTCAGAGCGACGTGTCGACAAAATCATTGCGTTTGAGAAGCTGACTGTACAATGTTTTAAATAACACTACATAGAAAGTTTCTTGCACAAATATTTACAGGATTAGCATTTCATGTAAGGTGATTTCATTTAGATGTGGTCGGGGTTTGGATTAGGATTGTGGTTAGGTAAAGTTGGGGTCAATATGCATACAGGCCTCCCCCGATTTTAAGGAATGTTTTGGAGCAATAAGGACTGTTCCGGTAGCGTGTTTGAAAACTTTAGATATGTATTTTATTTCTCGAACATGCAAGTTTCCTCATGACGCCTAGCAAGTGGTAAACAGTGCTTAAAATTGCGTTTAATAATTTTGGTGTTGATGGGGACAGCAAAGTTTGGTCGCGCATTGAAATTTAATTGGAACGTATAGCCCTTATTAAACTGCTACGTATCTTGTATTTACGTAAATAAACTTAAGACGTTTAGTTAATTAACGAATATTCATATTCTTAATTGAAATATTTAAAACTGCAGTGACGGAGAATGTAAAAAAATATTTCTATGATACATTTTAAGGACACACCTCCAAATTCATCAGTCCTAAAGTAATAAGTTTCGTTCAATGCGACCTTCATTTGAAATAAACAGGTATATTTATTGCTGCGAGTGACGTGATCGCCGATGCGGGGGCGAAATGAAATGGCACCTCGCGATTGTGATCTTTCCAATGAACGACAAGTTTTGCTATTCTATGTAGGTGTGCGCAGCATAATTACATGAACAATCATATCTGAAAAGGAAGATATGATTTTGTCAAATTAAACCTATTTATTCACGCCAAGTTTATAAGAATCCATTCACATATTAAGTAGGTATTTATTTTTATAGTATTATGCTGACAATGAAGCTATAAAAGGAGACATTGAATTTTTTTGTGGCATATATTTTTGACTCCTTGTGGTGGCAGTGTAGGAGAATCCGTCAACCCATATATTTTGTAGGTGTCGTAAGCGGTGACTATGAGAAATGCTAGAAAATGTTATGGCATATGATAACTGACGTATACCCTCTCGTTTTCGCGAGACTTAAAATACTTTAAACGGGCACCAGCGTCAAAAGTGCGGAACGTCTGATACTGTTATGCGGACGGATACCGCTTGCCAAGCATGGCGTGACCTGTGTGATTTGACATACTGATGTTTTATTATTATTATTATACAATAAGATAACGGAAAAAGTGTCAGTGCCAATGGAATCCTTTAAGTATGATTACGTAATATTTCATTCATATTTAATCATCAATGAAATATATACGTAGTAGAGCCACGCTGTAGCTATATTATGGTTGTAGCACTAATGGGTCGGCTCGAACGAGGTAGGCCCACGCTCGCGTTTCGTATGGTGAGTGTAGAGATCTGGAGACCTTTTTTACTGGAAACGAGGCATTCCATCTTAGTCCTTAGGGGTGACAACACACCTGCGTTTTGATACTTAATCGAGGATAAATGTAGATGTCTATGGGCTACAGCATCTACTTACCATCAGGTGGACTGTGTGCTCGTTTGTCACCCTCATTTTATAATAAAAATAGCATTTTTGTCTCCTATAGGAGATTTTTTTCATCATAGAATAATATAAGTTATAGTATTCTGTGGAGAAACTACAGGAGCCTGCAATGAATGAATGAGTAACTATAGTTTATAAGTTTTTTTTTAATTTCCAAAATGTAGTACAGCCAGATATTTGCTTAACATTTCATAAAGCTAATTAAGTGTGTACATATATCTGAAATATAACATCTGCAGCCAAACCTGTGCATCAGCTTTCAGCGTAATTTTCCCACGGTTAATCTAAAAAAATATTAGAATGCAGCAGAAATTAATTAATTAAATATCATCAGTTACTCATTCCTTCATTACAGCCTACAGCAAAACTCCAATGCTTAATATGACCTGCCCCATAGGGAGGATCTTGCTGATAGTAGCAACACTTGTCAGGCGGATTGCCAACCGCAGTTTCCTTCCCCAGTTATTATCAGGAAAATGCTCTGTAATTCCCTTACGACATCTACGGAATGATTTGGAACAGTGTTTATTCGTATGCCGCCACTACACAGCCCCCCATATTAATTTTTATTAAATATACAGATTTTTAATTCTATTTCTTCGAATGATTAATATTTCTTTAATTTTAGTAGTGTTACTGCGATAGTTATTAGTTATTAGATCAAGGTGAGTATTCGGAGGACGGAGGATAATCTGACGTCAACAGCGAGATCGAACAACAACCACAAGCGATCTAAGGTCACAGCCCACTGCAAAGCAAACTAGTACTTGCATATGCACGCTTTTACAATAAGTGATATGTTGTTTTACAATAAGTGTATGTGTAAAGATCTTAAACCATATTTATTCTACCTTAATTAATTATACTGTCAGTTCTTATCTCTTATTTCTTGTGATTAAACACGGAAAAAACAACGGTAGTACACTCGGTCATCAACTCTTGCATATCCAATAATTACGTTACAACTAATTTCTTATGACGTGTCGATATCACGAAAACTAACTTAATACATAAAGATCAATACAATCTCACCGTATTTCTCAGAAAATATGACGAATAGATTATGCTAATGCGATTGAAAAATATTATGTATCATTAATTGTTATACACGATTGAGTCATCGGTACCACCTACGTCACATCACAACCTAAAATTGTTCCTAAAACTTATTATACTGTACTAATTGTTGTAAAGTATTTGTTTGTAATAAACGTTTTTTTTTAATAAAATAGTACTTGGCATCCAATTTGTCGGATAAGAATGACTTGAAGTAAATCACAACAGTTATGTTGATTCGAATACAGCCTCGTAACGGCCTTTCTGCAGGATTTCCGGCATTTTGAGAACCTCAAACAACGGCAACATTATAAGTATTGTCGCTTCTTTAAAACAAAATTATATATGAAACAAGGAAGACCATTTTTATTAATATAATTATTACAACTATATAATTAATATTATGACATCTATATAATTAAATATTTAATAGTACAGGGACGAATAATCTTAACTCACCGATAAAAAAAATATTTTTTTTCAAGGATTACAACTATATAAGTTTCATTAAAATCGTTAGAACATTTTCCGAGAAGCCAATTATAAAATATATATCAGAATTGCTCATTTAAAGTATCTTTAGAAATAAAGGGGATAAAAAAGTAAAATGTAATTTAAATATTTTATACTCTTCGGTCTAAACACAAAACTCCTCGTCATTATAAATTTCAATATAACATTAAAAGGATATTAGTGTCAACCGAACAAAAGACATCAACGCAGTGTGCGTTGATGTAACCGCTTTACAAAGTGAAGGGAGTTCCTATTTATAGATGAAATTATTTATTAAACTATGTACTTAATGTTATTTACTCGAGTATTTAATGGAAACTAGTAAAGAAAAATAGATCAATAGATGCTCTGGGACCGATAGTTTCTTTTATTTGTTGAAACTCAAGTACCTATAATTTTCTTTTTTTATAATAATTATTTCAAGGGCATGAAGTTTAGTAAGCCATATTAAAACAGGCTTGCGATATCTTTTCATTTCCCTCTTCTTCTTCGTCCTATGAACGTTATCCCTGTTACTGCCGGGTTCCGATTTCCTGCTCATCCGTCTCCACCTTGCCCGGTCTGCAACGTCTTCGGTAGTAAGTCATTGACTCTCATATCTGAACTCACGTTGTCGAGCCAGTGCTTTTACGAGTAGGAACTACCACATGGTCTTGCTCGTAACACAATAGTATGAAGTTAATTTTTCCAACATAAGTAATCTACGTTGGAAGCAACCACCTTACGTGGGATGTATCGCTTTCTCACTATATTATCGAACAATCTTAATTGACTTATCCGCCACGTTTTCATTTTTCATATTCCATTGATCTTAAAGCACATTTCCATTTCCGAAACGTGAAGCTCCTTAAGATGTCGGCCTAGGATCGGTAAGGTTTCACTACTACCTATACCATTATGAGTAGATAAGGGTCGGATAATGCTCCTACACATCATGTAGATCAAAGATAGCCGTTTTTTAATCGATCTGGGACTAAGTATATAAACCACAAACTATGTAATTCGTCTTTGCCACATTTAGTTCCAGTGTGCCGTTCTTACGCGTGCTTTTTCATTAAATTACTCTATGCTCAAGTTCTCAATGCCTTCGACAATAAATGCGATGTCATGTCATTTGGTAAAGCCCTACGTTGCCTTCTATGAGTTTTCAATCTGAATAAAAGTTTCTGGCCCTCTTCTATGTGAAGTAGATATATAATATATAGAGCCAGTGGACCTCTTTGTTTTTCAAATTCAAAAGGAATAAAATAAAGTAATTTTTAGGAAAGATTATATTATTTATAATACTTTTTTAGGATAGGTAATATATCTTAAGAAAATTTTAGCAAAATAGTTAATTGAACTGGTTACAGATGATATTCAATAGGAATCTAAAAGAAAAAAGTCACTGCCGCGCGGCTCGTTATGCGTTATGGTTATTCTCACGATCGATGTTTTACTTTACCGCCGAGCACGTGGTAAATAGAAATGTCATTCGTTACAGCCTATCAAAAGTCCACTGACTCCACGACACACAGATTATAGTTGCCACGCTAGGCAGGTAGGTTGGCAACTGCAGTTTTTTTACTATTTTCAGTTGATATAGCGTGGATGCTGCTGCTCATCTCTGGTTTCTTTTCCCTCTGTCACCTCTTACGACACCCACGGGATGTAATGGGGTAGGTAGTGGACTCTTTTACGCTAATAGAATTAACTTAAAATGTATTTTTATGGTCAATCATCAGTTATAAATTTTCACAATCATATAGCTTCCTTTCCTACAAATCAACACAATCAATCGTTTTCTCGAGGAAAAGAGTTGGTAACTTCCTCACGTACAATGCTACTTTCACTGTTCGATAATATGACTGTTAGAACAGAATCCCCATTGTTTGCTACTATTGTATTAAGTCATCATGACTGCCTCGTATGTTTACTGGTCGTAAGCGCGACTGCTAAACAAGCAGTCCCGTGTTTGTATCTCAGGTCAGGTCAAAACAAATTATTTGGTTTTCTATCAAAAAATTAAGAGCGGTATTTCAAGCATGTGTTTTGGAAAACACGTAATGTCAATGGTTCTGCAACTGATTTATCTCCGCTCTATCAAAGTGAGGGAATAGAGAGTTTTTGTGCACACTCATCAAATGCTATCCTGCGTAGACAGGAAGTTAGTATCCGTTAAGTCTGGCCGCCGTGACAGAAATTCGGAGAGTCATTATTAAGTCTACATTAATGTCGCATTCGCTCATCTTTATTATTACTTCACGATACGCACAACACCACGCATTCTATTGCTAACTATAATTTTTTAATAAAAATGCAATTTTTATTAAAAAATTATAGTTAGCAAAATTATTTAATTCTTAAATTAATTCTAAAAGTGTGACATTATCTACCTCGACATACGTTACCGATAAGTATAGCATTTTACAGTTAAACATTTCATGTAATTTTTTCTTCTTTCTTATTACTTATATTTAATCTATAACAAAAATTTAATATCCACATTTTCTAAATGTTTAATTTAATTCATAATTTCGTTTAATACATAATTTTAAGTTTTGAAATAAAATAATAGTTTCCAAAACTTCATTACTCCTTTAATATTTACTTCTATACATTTTAATTTATATAACGTTACATATTTTAACTTTTAGGTTTTGATCTTCATTTTTTATATTATCGATTAATTAAGGAGTAGAAGTTTAATAAGGAAGTCACTTTAAGTACATAACATGCCACTGAATAATGAATATCTATGTTTGAAATACTTAAATTGACATTCTATAAAAAACTTACTTGTTAAAAACAACTTACGAAATATGATTGATATTTTGCTGAAATCAATAAAATTCTAAGTGTATATATAAGATCTGATACGAGTTGAACTTGTTTGCACCATCCACAACTTGCTAATAATATCTAATCATTGCTTGTTTAGGTTTTGTACATTTTAAATAAAAAGACCATTAACACTAAAAACTGGTTCGGCCAGGTTAAGAAAAAAGTTGTTTACAGCATTGAACTTTACGGCACGGTTGCGAATGATTCATTTTAGGTTATTTCAAGTATAACAGTTCTGTCTTATAGATTTGCCTGAGTTTTTAAACCGTATAAGGAGACAACCACTTTATACTTTTGGCAGCGACCGCTTGTAAATCTGAAATGCCGTAATTCATGTCATACGAGTATAGCTTTAAATCTGTCTTAGAGATAATAAAGCAACTGAGGCTCTAAATTCAGCTATGACATTTTTAAACCTACGCTTGATAATTTATATCTACAAGAAACAATATGTGACATGTTATTTTCATGTAAAACATTCGTGGAACAAATGTTTTGTTTATGTGAAAAATGCTAACTTTAAAGCTGTAAAAGGTAACCAGTGGCCTTACTTTTCCATATTCTGCCGTTCCAGCCCACTCCCGCCGCCACTGACCCGCGACTTCCATGACTGTGAATTGGTTTATTTTTCTCGATCGCTGCAGCTACACTCGAGTTTCGTGGCTAGCACTCGTTTACTAGCGCGATAACGTTCGCTCTTCGCGTCGGTATAAAGCCCACTGCCAATACTTGCGCCCGAGCGGAGCCTTCGCTTAAAAATATAATATTTAAATATCTTTGTTGCCTTCTGTTGGCAAAAAACCGTAGTAGTGGGTACTATAGATGTTAACGCCCACTGTAGATTTTGAGTTTCCACCAAGACACGTACAAATACATAAATATATTCTGTGCACAGGTCACCCACGCACTAAGTTTGTTCCGGAGCGGAGGGACAAAGGGCCATGCATTTTGGCTAACTTTTTAATAATTTTAAAATGCTATAAAGTATAATCTTGCCCTTTAACAATATTTATACCTAATTTTCATCACCGTGTTAATTTCGAGTAACGTACAAATCTTCGAACAATCATATTTGCTCTCATTTACAACGTCTTTTGTTCTCTTGTTGTTAATAATTGAAGCTTGATTCTAATTATAATCGTAATTATCATAAGTACTTACTTCCAATAGTTTCTTTCGAAAAATATGTTTTATAATTTATTAATTTGTTAGTCTTCGCATTGATATTTATACAATTACATTCCAATAGCTGATAAACAATTCTCTTATTATAATTATTAGACCTTAAATAAATAATTCTTTATTTATATAAATTCTATACGATTATTTTAGTGTTATCTTCGGGTTTATAAGTGATTATTTTAAACTAATAAAGTAAGTTTTCACTCTGCTTTGCTCGCGTAGACTTTGGTTATCTATAAAAAAATTGCCAACTGTCCTTCCATATTCCAACCTTCCCTAGGATGGATACAACAATACATTTGTTACACGAATGTTTTAACATGAAAATAACATATCACATATTGTTTCTTGTAGATATAAATTATCAAGCATAGGTTTAAAAATGTCATAGCTGAATTTAGAGCATCAGTTGCTTTATTATCTCTAAGACAGATTTAAAGCTATTCTCGGACGGTAATACTATTTCAACTATTTGATGCCAAGAACCATCCGACGACGGGGAGAAGAGTTCGCCTGCTAAGTATGGCGATTATGGAATAAATCCTCCCTACCACAGGAGAAACTCATGTCCAGTTAAGGATTTCTACAGACTGATTATGAAAAAGAAAGAACGTGCGAGTCTTTGTATTTATTTCTTAAGGTATATCTCAAGTACACAGTACGAAAAAATAATAACACTAAAGTATATTTTCAACCGGCCTCAAAAAAGGAGGATGTTCTTAATTCGTTTTTTAACGTGTGTTACATCAGAACTTTTTTCTAGGTGAACAGGTTTTAATGATTCCTTTTTTATTTGAGAGCTGGTGCTTCACTTGTGGTCCCATATAAATTTGATCAAGATCTGAGTAGTTTTTGGGTTATCCTTAATAATGCATATTTAATTGACTTCTATTCTTGATCTTCTATTGATGATGATGAGATGAGACATTGAGATGATGTTCTCATTTTATTTGTATTGAAGTCAGTTGTAGTTTTTTTTAATTTTACCACTTATTTGAAATTTAGGGGTCTTATTGCAGTAGATATGTCACAATTTGTGAAACCTACATTTTAACCCTTCAATCTCCATAAAATCCCATACAGTCGCATGCGTCCGTCAAATCTCGAGTGGTCGCATGCGACCGCACCCAACTACAGCTCTTTAAACCATTAAAACTTATATTTAGAGACTACTTTTCTATGAAGAAGTTTGGCATTATAAAATCTATACAAAATTCTCTATCCTGTGGTCTAAACAAAAGTCAGGTTTTACTTCATTACAAAAAGACTACTGTATATTGATGACAAAAAACGGGTACCTACATGCCAAGCGGATGTAGGCAGCGTGGAAATCACTATAATTTCTATATATTACTCGAAATTATTTAGGTAAAAAGATACATTATATTCACACAAAAATAAATGTAGTATGTTCTCATAAAAAAAAAGAAATCAGAAAAAAGAGCATTTCTTCTCGACTCTGCATTTGCTAAACAACTTAACAGCTAGCGATTGAGGAATTTACAAGTTGTTTTAAGAGAAAAAAGTGTTTTGTGAGGGGACTTGTTCAGTTCAGTTCTTAGAACAATTAAAATTTTTATCTAAATGTGTTAAAAAGTCATAAAGATTATTGTATAACCTAAAAATTCGTTATGTCTCACTACCACATTAGTCTATAGTTTCTCTTCTACTAAAAAAGTAATGAACATAGATGATAAATAAATAACCATAGAGTAACTGACTTTTTATTCCACTAGAGGATAGAAAGTTTCATATTGAGCCTATAATGTTAAACTTCTTCATAGAAAAGTAGTCTCTAACCATAAGTATAAAATGGGTTAAAGTGCTGTGGGTGGGTGCGGCCGAATTCACTTGGTATTTGACGGAATATCGCCGCGACCAAATTCGGCCGCTTTGTAGCTAAGGGGTTAAGCTACATATTTATCTTGAGATATACTAGCACAAACTTATTTCGGGACTTATTTCTCTATTCTACATATAACAAACAATCCGAGACAGATGATAACAGGATGATTTTTATAGTTTTGTATAATAGCTGTTCTGTGTAGTGATTATATCCTCTTTGGTAAAGATTTGGGGATTTCTGTATTTACAGATTGATCATTATCATCATTATTTACAGCTTAGCAAAGTCGACTGCTAAATATAGGCTTCGTGTAGATTTCCTCATAATAGGATATTAGACATAACTACCACTCTGTGCATGCGGATTTGCAAGTGCAGTTTTTTGTTTCCTGTTAATTAGAAGATGCAACTGCCCATCTTCTGGATTCCCTCTGTTACCTATTACGATTCACATGGGATGATATAGGGTAGTGGATATTCTTACACTATCAGTCATATTACATATTACAATTAACCTATATCCAGCTAAATATACAATCATTAAAAACAGTATTTAATTTAATCAAAATAATATTTTATTTTGCTCAGGGTAAAACATTTAATTTTTTTTAAATGTAGAATTTATTTTGAAAACCCATTTCTTGCTAAATTTACAATCAATTAAAAAGTATTTAATTTGTTCCATATAATACTTTATTTTGCTCGTTTTACACATGAAAAATGTTTTTAAATATAGAAGTTATATTCCATTCTTAAAAAAGCAATTTAATAACTAAAACTTATCCCTAATAAACCAATAGTATGTATTGTTAAAAATAAAATTTTCTTCATATTACTAATATTAATTTCTACAAAGTTTTTCCATGAATCTACTGTAATATCACCATATGAGACACCACTTTTATGTAAAAATAAAATTTTCTTCATATTACTAATATTAATTTCTACAAAGTTTTTCCATGAATCTACTGTAAGTCTAGTCTAGATTCATGCCATATGTGAGACACAGCACTTTTTTCATAAGTTGTGATTAGTTTTAAAACTATTAGCTATAACTACTGAAATATTTCAAGTTCATTAATTTTCTTATATAAAATATTTTTTTACATTTAAAGTAACACATTATTGAAAATTAATGGTAGTAGTCTGAAAAATGGTAGCTTATTTTTTTCTTAAATTATTGATATATAAATCTAGGATAAAGTTATCACATTTTTTAAGATCCATAATGTATAAAAATGCATTGTTTTTATCCTTATTTCTCATATTAATACATCTTTTAAATACTGCAACAAGTAAATCTGTTGTCTGATTACTCAAACAGAAATTGTAAAATATTTTCTGCTCAAAACTAAAACTTTTACTTAAACCATTCTTAAAATATCTATAAAACAATTGTTCACGTTTTCCACATAATTTCTCAATATTCGCCCACTCATCTAAAGACACTCCGAACAGCAATCCCGTTATTTGTCCTTTGATGACACAAGTTATTTGTCCCGATCTATCAGCTATTTTTAAAGTTGAGGTTGAGATCACTGAACCGTCTTTTTGATAATTAACTTTTACCGATTCTAAGTAATAATCAGATAATAACCCCCAACCTTCTTGATGTAATTTCAATTTTCTACCTTCTGTTAACTTTGTAGGTGGCACTTTTTCAAAATAATCCAAGCCAAAACGGGACCTCCGATTATTGTCCATTATACTAAGCTAACATTTCATTTTTTATTAAATATGTAAATTAATTAAAGAAAGAAAGAAATTTATAATCCTAACCAATTTAACCCAGAATAGAATTTAATTTATTAAATAATTAATAAATAATGTGTCAAAATCAAAAATGATAATATATTAATAGATATTGATAAGGAATAAATTTATAATCTCAGACCTCTATGTAAGGGATGTTCCATGATCATCGATGTTAAAAATCAAAACATCGATGTTGCCACAGTCAAACATCGAAACGTCGATGTCAATGAACCTATAATCGATTAATAGAAACTTGTGAAGAACGCAAAATCTACATCAACTAAATCTTGCATTTCCTATTGAAAGTGTAAAACTTTGAATAATACAGTATTATCAAGTGCATCGATCACCTAAAAAAATATCATTATGGTCTGTCAAACTTAACTGTCAAGTGTGAACTGTAGTGTCGTAGTTTTCACTGCTTTTGCTTTGTTATTCGGTCGTGTCGTCGGTGGTCGCCTAATAAATATTCTACGTAAATTTATATTCAAATGAATTTTATTCCCCTTGATGTCTATACCCAGATAACTTTGAAACAATATGTAAGTATCTACACAATTCAAATATATTTAGCTGCAGTTTTTTGCTTATCATAACCAGTTTATTATTTGCTTGAACTTGAAGGTTATGAAAATAGATCACTTAGCGAACGCGACCGTATACAATTTCACTGCATAGTGCATTCGACTGCACATTTTATAAACGGCTGTAGATACTTACTACTTGGACTGTTTGATTAAAAATTGTGAACAAAGGTGATGGAAAATTCAAGTATTTTGTTTTGTTGTGATTATTAAGAAATTGAATAATTAATAAATCATTGTTA